GTACTAAACAAAACGAAATACGCGATTGACTGCACGATGACTCAAGCTTACTCTCCTGCAAATAGTATTCACTAGTGAAATTCAAGCTATTATTCATCACAACACAAATGTGCGACATACATGCGTTGCTATTTGTTTCACACTGTTGTGGTGAGCTCAAGCAAAATGAAATATTGAACTTCGCGTGTTCCACAAGAATTGCTTCAAAGGTATAGACCAAAGGCCGCGAGCGTTCTCACCGTGCCACGTAAGGTTGTCACGCAGTTGGTTGGCGTATTTGATTGCCAAATAACTTATCAGCGAAAACGAACGCTCGCTGGTTTCACGTTATCTTTGAATCGATTGCCTTGTTTGTAAGGGAATACTCGCTTTGTTTTGTATAAGTGTAATGAACCTACCGATACTTTCGTTCCGATGTTTAAGCTTCCGAGACCGAGGACTTAACACACGCAGGCTCAATGACCCGAAGGAACTCGCATACAATGAGCGATGCTGTCGTACATAGAGCTTCACTTCCGGCTGACGTCCTGTGATTCTCAGCCAGCTTCTCTAAGCATTGAGCCCCGCCGTGGTGGTCTAGTGGCTAAGGTACTCGGCTGCTGACCCGCAGGGCGCGGGTTTGATTCCCGGCTGCGGCGGCTGCATTTCCGATGGAGGCGGAAATGTTGTAGGCCCGTGTACTCAGATTTGGGTGCACGTTAAAGAACCCCAGGAGGTCAAAATTTCCGGAGTCCTCCACTACGGCGTCTCTCATAATCAAATGGTGGTTTTGGGACGTTAAACCCCACAAATCAATCAATCTCTAAGCATTGCACGTCATGACGTCGCGAAATTCTACTCATTGAAATGCTTCCGCTAAATGTTGTACCCATGGACTCGAGTCAAGGCTACCCGAGATTCCAGGACTGACGTGATATAGGTGCAGTCATTCCGTATTCCGCAAGGTAGAGCAGAATGTAAGATCCGTTCAGAAAGTGCTGCGAACACGATATAGCGATGACGCTGGCAAGATAAGAGATACCCCTCGTCGAGCCATTGTAGCTAACAAAAGCAGTACGTGCCACCGATGCATATACTTGCGTGATGATCACCTGTCTTCAGAATTCAGCTGCGCCAAACGTTGGCTTCTTCCGCCCACTCTGCCGCTGAGGATATGCAATAAAACATCGCGGAAAAAAATTAGTTGAATGGTTGGAAAACGTTCGCGCCATCCTGTGCACAGAAACGTAGCGCAACAGTTCTGCCTCATACAAATGGCAAGCAATTGCGTCTCTCATAATCATAGAGTGGTTTTGGGACGTTAAACCCCACATATCAATCAAAAGGCAAGCAATAGTGTATATGCTCTCATAACCCAACTACAAACGCGACGGAACCAAAGGCGCTAATTTCGTGGCTTCACACGAGCTACTTCTATATCGTGTTAAATAACCATGAAGCAATACACTCACCACCGCAATCCGCCAACTTTAGGCAATGTCAAAAAGTCCGGATCGCATTAAGCTGCAGTGCGAGCTGCTACACTCTTAAAAAAGAGCGAGTAAAAAGGGTGTCTTTTTGTCCCACAACAATAATCGTCATTTGTATTGCGTTCCATCCTTGCGCTATCGCCCGCGCCCGGTACATTCCGGTCACGATCGACATGCCCCGTATCAGGGTTACATTGCATTCTCGATAGGAATGTGGCCAGCGCCGAGTTTTCAAGAAAGGAAGCGCACGCAAGCCTGATGACGATTATTGTTGTGGGACAAAAAGACACCCTTTTTACTCGATATTTTTTTAGAGTGTAGGAACGCATATGACGTCATGCATGAGACACCCACTTGTTGATCTGAAGTTGAATCGCGATCCGCAGCCGCCGCTCAATTTCATTACAACTTCATCTGCATGCGGCGAGAAGCGTGGTAAGCTGTCCATAGGACAGCTTACCGCAGCATGGTAAGCGTGGTAAGCATACATGGTAAGCATACATGGTGAGCGTGGTAAGCTGTCCATAGGACAGCTTACCACGCTCAGCATTAAGCGTGAAAAGCACGATGTGGGCGCTTATATATAGGCTATACTTAGCTATATCAATGTGGACGGTGGAGACGCCCTGAAAGGGGCTATGATACGATAACCAACAATTTGTGTATTTTGGCGAAAAATGTACGTGACGGGTTTACTATGCCTGTACACATACGAAAAATGGACGTAGAAGAGTATTTAAGCGGAGATCAAGCCCCGGAAGTCCACGGCTTATAAACCCCGCTCATCACCGGCAACCACCATTGTGTCTGGCGGGTGTGACGTCACGTGCTGCGTGGAGCGGAGCCGTCGCCTTCCGCCAAAAGTTTCAGCGGCTGAAAATCGTTCGATATCAGTGCCAAGCTGAACAAAGCTAAATAGTCTCGAGTTCATGAGCAGCTCTCCGCGGAACGATATCGTTCGTTTCAATGCAGACGCTCGCGCAGCAAGCTGCTTGTTACGTCACGGCTCGCTAGTGTTCCAGTGTTGCCCAACCATCATGATACTTGCGTGTTTATAAGTATGTTCAGTTATTAATTAAGTACTCCACCAAATATTTCGCCAGCTTATTGGTGAACGCACAACGACTATCACACGTAACACATTATGGTAAAAAGATTGGGTGTCTCTTCTGTGTTAATTGACTTGCTGTGTTCGGGTTTATATTACCTCGATAACGCTATTTCTATAAGTTCTGGAGTGGAAAAATAAAGAAAAAAGAAAATCAGTTACACAGAATAAACAACTAGCAGCTATACAGAACAAGTATTGCACACTGAAACAGGCTAAGATAACACGGTATAATATGCAGTTTGCTCGTCCTGATTCCTTCAAGCTGTCGCCGTGACCCTTTACAAAAGACAAATGTCGACCAATGACCAATAAACATGCGAGAGCCACAGAATATCAGCCGTAGCCGAGCAGGCGTTTACGAACGCCGGTAATCGATATTCAGCTAAAGCGCGGCAACACATGTCTCTAAACCATATCGGATCATGTGTCACCAGGTTTTTCGCGGGATCTCGTTTCCAGGCGCAGTCGTGTAGTAACAGCCATACGCAGTGCGCACGAGCGGAAACAGTGTCAGCCCCGACTGACTGACGGGCGGGCGGGCTACTACTGCAACGGCACGACATAACCTGACAGCCGACTGGCGTCAACTCCAAAAGGGTGAGCTGGCTCTGTTTTCGTGGTCGCAGTTGAATGGAGTGGCGTATTGGAGTGAAGGAGAAAACGGGACGAAACAATGGCACAAGCCGCAGCTGTACAGGAATGGATAAAATATGGGAGAAGTCTCGCTGGTAGGGGCTCCTGTTGTAAATTAAGCCGCGATAAATGGCCAGGACAAAAAACGAAGCCTGCGTATACGGCGAGGGTGCTGATCTCGTGTTGGCAATTCGACGTGTGTTTGACGAAACGGCGCTATACGTGAAGACGCCGGCAGACACGGCCGTCAAATTGAGTGGGTGTTTTCACGCGTATTATTTTCTGCTGGCTACACGTTCCAGTCGACAACTACACCCCGCTACTTACAAAAGTTGTCTTAAATAGGAAAGAGAGGCTGATATATGCGTGGCACTAAAAGGTTGAGGTGAAATTAATCCATGCTGACAATTTATGTGCGCCGTGGTTCATTCATTTAGTAAAGGGTGCGATGAATTGACCTTTTGATCCCCGCCATGGTGGTCTAGTGGCTAAGGTACTCGGCTGCTGACCCGCAGGTCGCGGGTTTGAATCCCGGCTGTGGCGGCTGCATTTCCGATGGAGGCGGAAATGTTGTAGGCCCGTGTACTCAGATTTGGGTGCACGTTAAAGAACCCCAGGTGGTCAAAATTTCCGGAGCCCTCCACTACGGCGTCTCTCATAATCATATGGTGGTTTTGGGACGTTAAACCCCGCGAATCAATCAATTGACCTTTTGATCGCTGAAGCTTGCTGCTTCGCCAAGATACACCACGGTACCATAGCGTAAAATTGCTTCTCGCAATGCGGCGGTACCTCTGTGGACACTGCTAGAATGGGCGGCTCATGCAGTGGCTGTCGTAATGGGTTTTCGCCACAGTACGTGCTTCAAACGCGAACTACTCTTTTAATTGGCGTCACGGCCACTACTTTCAGGAAATAGTGCCGCGTGTGTAACCGTAACCCTTAAGACTCATGTACACTGATCTCGTGAATATTCGAGCGTGATATTCCAGTACATTTAGGTTTATGTAGGGGAAAAAAAAACTAGTTTAAAGTAACTTCGAAGTGCTTAGGCGAACCCAATGAACCAAACGCCTCGTTAGAAGCAATGCCTTAGGCGCAAAACCGTTTTTTAGAACGTCAAGAACGAGCAAGCTTGACAAGGTATTTTTTTCCACTTATGGCGTCAAGCGCGAAATTGTCGAAAGTGCGCAATCGTAGCCTATGCGCTGCAAATCAGCAAAATTATTCAGTAAACCTAAACTATGATGAATAGGAGCTTATTACGATTCAAAATTATACGAATCGGTTCGTTAGGCTAAGTGGCGATACAGTATTTTACGAAGTGTATCATGCTCACGGCCGGGTCAGGGTGGATGAACTGCACAAGGCATGGCACCCGCGTGCGACATGCATTCCCTTCAGGTCACTAGCTGTCATTTTTTTAACACTATGTATGCGATAAAAATGTGGGTCTTTAGACGAGCCTTTCTGTTTTATTAGCGTGATTACCAACACGTCGTCCTTGCGGAAAAAAAAAAAACATCACGGGGGGTATGTCGAAGCGATAAGAGCTGTCTGCATTTTTTTTTTTTTTTTGCGTAGCACGTGTGTCAAATAATCGACGTCTGAGACAGCAGCAGCCCATGTCGGGAAATAGCAGCAAACAAAGTGCATCCTTTTCAATGACTGTCTCTTTCTTTTCGCTGCACCCGTCCGCGGAGGTGTTTGACGCCTGTGATTATAGCAACAGCCGCCCGCTGATGCCGCGAAATAAGAAGAGCAAATAAATGCACGGTTTCCGTTTACTTTAAGCGCGTACTTCATCCCTTGATGCATCCGTCCTGAGCTGAAGCTCGAAATGTGAACATATGCGCTACGTGAGCCGAGCCCACGCATGGGAAGAAAACAGTGCTGGCGATATCGACTGCAGGAGTGAATAGATTGCGCTTCGAATCGACTTTCGCTGCCACTGCTCGAGTTCCGTGGAAAGCGAGGAATAAGTAAACCGCTTCTCGTGGTCTGGACAATGTCACAGTAGTAAGTAAACGTGGAATTTGCTTGCCAGTTTTTTATGTTGGTGTCGACTAGCCACTTCCTTTCTCTTATAGTTACCATGCGCCAACATCGATGACGCGGTCGTCATTTCTGGTAATCCATAACTGTAGACGTGAAGCGAATTGCTGTATCAGCTGCGCGTGAAATTTGCCACCCACCCCTCCAAAGCAGAGCCTTCAAAGCAGTGCCACGCTATAAAAATAGTAATTCAGGCGGTTTGACTCCTCCAAGCATGCAACGTAGTATTGCGCGCTGGCACATTCGAAGTGTTATGCCATGCTATAGGCCAGTGTTTAACAAGTTTTTAACAAGCTTATTGTGGTGAGCCAAATTCATGTTGGGAGTGAGCAGAGGCAGTGTGGAGGATGCCCTAACGTAATTTCGGGCATGAACCAAGCCAATTCTTAGTCAAGGCCAACTATAGTTACAACTTGTGCAATTTGGCGAAGGTCATTCCGGGTTCCAAGGTCACCTTTAGTGTTCGCCATGGCACGTCCACAGATCACTAATGTACTACACTGTGATTTGCCAAATGATTAGAACACGGGTGAAGCTCAGGGCTGTAGGCAGGTTTTTTTTTTTTTTTTGTGTGTGGCAGCCGGGGCACCACTTCGATCTGAAGTGGGGGGAGGGGACGCCATGGGCAGATGCAGTCGAGCGCCATGTCATACTCTCTATGCCATGGGAAAAAAAATTCAGGGGTGGCTGAGGGGGCAAAAGGGCACGGGCCCCGTGTGCAAACCCTTGGCTACACTACTGGTGCAGCCGTGTAGCCGATTTTTCGACAAGCGGACTTGTTTTGTCGAAGGTTGCATCCGTCAAGTGGCGTCTTCAAGAAGAGAAGTCTGCTTGTCGAACTGTTCACTCCAGCGACTGTGTTCCGGGGATTTTTCATCCCTCCACGATTCCATCATCCCCAGGAACTTCAACATTATCGGAATATAACATTCGTTGCCATTCATATCTAGCAGCGCCAGTGCTGAATCGTTCATATCTTGTCCCACGCTGACAGGCCCACAGTGAGTCCAGATAAAAGCACGCATCGCGTTCTTGCCCGACATCCGCGAATTCTCGATCGGTATAGGTTGAAGTGCTTTCGCACTATACCGACAAGATGATCCAGTCAGTGTAGGCGGCTAAGCTGAGGTCAGTTTTAAATGCGGAGCATTTTTTAGTTGCACGATGTCGTACCGTTCACATTCCCACTGCGCATGCTCGCGTCTCGTGCCGGCCCCGGAAGACACTCGCAAAACTGTCACTCCCCTCTTTCGCCTCGCAAGGTCGACGCACGTGGCGTCAAAAACTGCACGAAAAGCTGCACAGCCATTCACTGGCCACCCCATATACTAGGCACTGGGTTGTGCGTTCGGAATTTTATTCCAAATTAAAAGTGGACATGCTATATCCATGTCAAGTGAAACTATTGAGTCAATTTCTTGAAGTTACTCGCTTGAAGTAAACTTGCCAACGCGTCTCTCATAATCATATGGTAGTCTTGGGACGTTAAATCCCACAAATCAATCAAATCAGTGAACTTGCCAACGACAGGGCGGAATTTTAAATGTGTACAGAATAGAGAAACAGTTCAGGAGGAGCGCTTTCTTTTTCTCTTTGTTTTGTGTACGCTTCACACTCCATGCTTCGCTATACTCAAAACGACTGCTCACCGACTCGGCCATATATGAATCCCTCACTTGAAACAATTCATCGCGTAACTAAATTAAGTACACAGAACTAATTCATCAAATTGCTTATTCCAGCAAAGTGATTTAATTACTCCCATCCATAACTGCCAAGTTTGCTGCGCGTGTTCCTTTAATCGCCAATCCCTGTACGTATGATGGATTGTCGCGGCTCTAAGTTAACTCATGCGTGCGGCGTGTACACATCTGTTTATGACGCATGGTTTAAAAACTTGAAATTCGGTGCGATGGTGCATAGCTGACGGCGGGAATTTTGAGCGCAGAAAACACACATTCACAAGAATGAGAGGACCGGACGGGTGGTAACCTGCGCCCATCCTGTCCTCTCGTTCTCGTGAATGTTTTTCTTTTTTTTAAAGCTCAAAATTACCATCCGCATCTGTGTACATGCACCTCTCATCAATGTGCTGCACTATGAACAACAGTGATTTTCGAGGGCGCGAGTTCGACTGTCGGCCGCATCATTTCGATGGAGGCGATATGCAAAGTACAACCACTATCATAGATTTAAGCAGATGTGAAAAGGTTCCCAACTGGCCGAAACTGTTGAGGAATCCACAACTACGGCGTGCCTTGTGATAATACCACGGTTTGGCCCATAACACCCAAGCCATTATCTGTTGCTAACAACCGCGGTGATTCCAGCAAAGTGTGCTATGTTTGTATGCATTCGTCATCAAAGCTTGTTAAGCGCTGAAAAAAAAACGCGATGCACTAGAATAATGACGAGACATTTTGGCCCAATACATGTAAGTTAGAAGGAAAGGTGGTCAGAAATGTAACGAAGCAAAACTCTCGGGTCCGCCGCGCATTTGCTTTATAGGACGACTTAAAAGACGCAAGCAAACTCCTTTTGCCTCTCACTCGATGTATTGATTGTGCGCAGCGGCAACATTTTCGATGGAGGCGAAAATGTGTGAGACCCATGCACTTGAAGTTTGGGTGCACGCTAAAGAACCCCAGGTGGTTGAAATTACCGGAGCCCTTCACTACGGCGTCTCTCATAATCATATGGTGGTGTGGGACATTGAACCCCACATATCAAATTATTATTATTATTATTATTATTATTATTATTATTATTATTATTATTATTATTATTATTATTATTATTATTATTATTATTATTATTATTATTATTATTATTATTATTATTATTATTATTATTATTATTATTGCTGTGTTGATTCTCCTCAGCTGAAAGTTGTGTGCACTCCAGGATTGGGGGCATTGCAAGCTTTCTGCGAGCACTGCCTCCATAATCGGCTTAACTTTGACCAAACGATGTCATCATGACACCACAAATTATGACGATCTGTGAAGCGATCACGTGAAGATCTTCTTTGAATCACCTGTAACGCCAACGCCGGTCAATTCTCGCGTTTTATGGGGCATCTAAAGCCCCTACACCTTTACAAATAGACGAATGGGCCGCTTCATGTGCGTAAATCTTAGCTACGACTTGTTCGTGTAGTGCCTTCTCTTCTATCTTTAGCAGCGGTCGCGTGAGCGTGCTCTCCCTCTCGCCAAAAAATCTTAAATTGTACCACATTTTGTTATCGGAGAGTCGGGACTGTCCCGGTGCATCGCTCACTGATAGGGCACTGGTACAACAGTCCTGAAGGCGAAACCGCTACTACAGTTGAAATGAGGACACCTTGTACAGGTATGCGATAAGATATTCTAGGACAATGTCAAGATTGTCACAGAAACAATACTCTATAGGGAGATTCTTTCGATGCTCCACACGATAGAGAAAGGAAGATGGGGAATCTTTAAATATTACGACGAGATATTTCCTAATAGCATGTCTCGCACAAGTGTGATGAAACATGAAGTAATAAAGAGTGCTTGATGGATATATCAACACGTAAGCCACACCAAGTGTGATGAAACATGAAGTAATAAAGAGTACTTGATAGATATATCAACACGTAAGCCCCACCCCAACACTGATGTTCGAACGTGTTCTCTTAGAGTGAGAATCACAGGCGGCATTTGTCCTCGGGCCGATAACGTCCTTTATAATAAAGCTCGCGAGACGACTACTTTTGATAAATGTTCATTTCTCTCTATTCTCGAGAGCCGGCGAGAGCGGAGTCAACGTGCCACGTCCTTCCGTAAGTCGAACAAATGACGCAGTAGAGATTCCAATCGTTTCACTTTACGCATTGAAGTGTTTAGTATGGGCAAAATTTAGCAGAATTCCGTGTCGGCATGTTCGATCGCTCCTGTTGAGACCCGTAGGTTTGTAAATCGCGCGTATGATCACAAGTAGGATCGCAAATGTTTTCAGTGCACTAATGCTGCTCCGAGTCAGTACAGACAACGCAACATTTCCGTATGTGAGCTACGCGTAGATGTAGTCGATATCACTCTTATTTTTTTAATATTTCTCGAACATCATCATATCCGCACTTCTTTTTAGGAGCATTCGTTTGTACCTTTGGTTTTTCGATGTAAGCTTTTTCGTACATGCACAAAGCGTGCTTCATTAGCAAACAAATAGTTCGGTGAGCTGTTTTTTTTCTTCTTCCTTGTGACGCTTCACAAAAGGACAGCTGAATCGGCAGCGCTCGTAGCTAGATCCTCGGTCGGCGAACGAGCCCGGGTGAGTGAGTCATCTTCATGACGTCAAATCTCAAGACGAAGTTGCAAGTAACTCATGGCATGCAGCTATAGTGGTTCGGGACCAAGCAATTGCATTAGCCGCTAAAGAAGCATATCTCACTAACAGCGCGAAAGCCCAAAGTACAAAGAAAAGGGAAGATACAGCAGCCCCGCCGCGGTGGTCTAGTGGCTAAGGTACTCGGCTGCTGACCCGCAGGGCGCGGGTTCGAATACCAGCTGCGGCGGCTGCATTTCCGATGGAGGCGGGAATGTTGTAAGCCCGTGTGCTCAGATTTGGGTGCACGTTAAAGAACCCCAGGTTGTCGAAATTTCCGGAGCCCTCCACTACGGCGTCTCTCATAATCATATAGTGGTTTTGGGACGTTAAACCCCACATATCAATCAGGGAAGATACAGCAGTTATCATGCCGTTGTCTTCATTTCTTCAGCATCCGACTGCCTAACATTGTCCCGACTCTAAGACAACCGCCTTGTTCTCCCCCATTCCTCTGAGCATGGAAGTCGGCTGAGTATCTTTCAGAGTCTACGCAACGAGTTCTCTTCCGCTTTCCGAAAAGCCGAGGGTTCTCTTTCTCGTCGTTTTCCCATTATGCTTTGCAACATTTTGCAGCTGTCAAGAGATGCAGCGAACCATAGCGCGGACAGCGCCTGGCTCTGGTGTTTAGCGGTTGTCTGTCGCGGTATATATTTTTTTTCCTGCCTCTTCTCACTCCCGCTATGGCTTTCAGAAAACGACACTCTCCATCTCCGCGCGTCCTTGCGCAAGCGGTATCCTCTGCTGCACGTTCCCGTCTCTTCTTCGCCCATAAAGTGGCTTGTCGCGCACGGCGCCGCTTGAATTTTCGCGCGGTGATCGGGGCGTACTTGTTGGGGCGACTAACGGTGAAAAGCGAAGTGCCGGCAGTAAGCCGTTCAGGCGTTGCACCCAGCGCATTGCTATCCGCCGCTTTCTGCGGGGGCGCTTTGCTTGGCACTGCGTAGCTTCCGCAAATGCACTTGTGAGAGTGCAAGGGAGAGGGAGAGAAATACACGCAGATCAGAGGCCGTGCGATCGCCGGCTCACGTTATTCGCAGAAGCTTCAATAACGCCAGCTGCGGAAGAGGCTGCGGACAGCGTATCCAGAGGTTTTCGGATAGCAGTTGCATCGTCGTCGTCATGGTTGTGCGCTACTTTCACGCGGCCGACTACGGCGTGCTGGTGGCCGTGTTGGGTCTTTCGTCATTCATTGGAGTCTACTTTGCCTGGAAAGACCGCCGCAGCACCAACAACAGGGAGTTCCTCGTGGGCAACAGGCAGTTACAGGTAAGCGAGGATTTCGTGACATACGCATGCATTGCAAAACTAACTTGTTTCCTGATGTGTGAAACGTATCTTGTTTCTTTTTTTAATTATTTGTGTGTGATTCAAATCGATTCCTCGTTGTCTCTCGTTCAGCGTTAAATACGAGACCGTTTTAATTGACGTATCACATTGTATATCTTAGAGTTTACTTTTTCTAGTGTTTATTATCGGTGATTTCGAGAATGCTTGACCCATGGCGTACGTTTTAAAAGCCGTCGTTGTCAGCGTCTTGGTTACACATTTCCCACCTATTTTCTTCTTTCTTTTTGCTTTGCGCATTTTTTAAACTTATATTAAGTATTTGTTTGTAGACGACACTTAAACCGCGAAAGCTGCTATATCAAAACAAAGGCGGGTTCTCGCGCCGTAGTTGTCCGCCGCCGATGTCCGTCACCACTGTCACGCGAAGTAAAAGAAAACTAAATAAAAAGTACTCAGAACAGGATGGGAATGAGAACAGAATGAGGTGTCTGTGTCAAATTGAAGTCTCTCTCTCTCTGTCTCTCTCATTCCCCATTAGCAGAGATTGGCATGTTCCAGTAGGAGACGCCGGTCCATCACACGCCGCAATGAGCGTCAACACCGCCGCCAGTGTGAGCATTAGCGCCCGCTGCTTCGCAGATAATTTAATTTTTTCCCCAAATGAACGTTGTAATTAATCTTTAAGTGTGTACAATTATCAGTTCGTTCCCCAGTATCAGGTTAGTCGTTTAGTTTTCGGAGCTCACGGACGCCCACTCGTGGTGCCCGGAGCGAAAACTGATTGCTCCTTTCCAAGAACCCCAGGTGGTCTAAATTTCCGGAGCCCTCCACTACGGCGTCTCTCATAATCATATGGTGGTTTTGGGACGTTAAACCCCACATATCAATCAATGATTGCTCCTTTCCGCAACTCGTGTTTTGCCAATGCGTTGCACTGTGAACGTTGAAGGCCCTCATGTGTAATCATGATCAACGCGATAGAAAAACGTCGAAATTACCTTTCAAGCGTCACAGCGGCTGCACGCAGTTCCCACGCGCGAAAGTGTTCTTAACACTCGATGCTCAAGTGGAAAGGTGTCTCTTGGCAGTATGTCAATTTAATATCGGCATGTTACAAGTAATTGTTGAGTAAGCGTGAATTCGCTGTTCCATCTCGTACTGTTCACGACGTCACTTTCATTCTTAGATGCTATAGGCGCGTAGCCCTCTCGAAAAATAATGAATTAAATGTCATTGATGATGCTAATTCTCCTTTCAGAGGAAATGTACAGCAAGTACCTTGCATTGTTAAACTTCATGTGTGCCGTAGCTGTAGAACACATAACTACTGACCTGGCACTTCTATTGGCCAAATTTGACCCTTGTGCCCTGAAAGACCATATTCACGATAATTTCGGTTAGGTGCGCGCATGTGTGTGTTCGCGCATGTGTGTCTGTCCTACAACTTTCAAATATCCCTATCGACAAATTCGGCACTTGACTTAGCCAGCGTCAATGAGTCGCTAAGAGACAAGGCTGACCTCCATGCTCCGCTTTCTTTATAAATCATAACGCGTTAATTTAGAAGCACATATATTTGGGCCAGTTTGTATTGATTCATGTCGGTATAATTAAGAGCGCGAAACACACGAGATACGAGTGACAGATTACACAAAGGCGCCGCCTATACTCGCACCCCAAAATTGTGGTCGCATTCTAGAGCCCAGCAAAACTAGTCTTTTTTTTTTTCGGCCCTGAAACAAGTTAACAAGAGAAATGATGGAAGACTTCCTTATCCACAAAATGCTTCCACGTGCTTAGACCAGCCGTCAATTAACCTACTAACCAGTGAAGTGGTTTACCTACAGATAAGTCTTTAGCGCTGAGAACAGATCAGCGGCAGTCATTCGCAGGATTGGCATCGCCGGTGTCGTTTTGCCCTCAGTTGTTTCTTATCCGTTTTGTGAACCTCATGCGCAGGAGGCAGTCGATGGGGGCTCTGTGTTGTGTTTTTTTTTTTTTTTTAATTCTTAAAGCGATAGCTGTCTTCCAGTTTTTAAATTGTGGTTTCACGCATGCGTTTCTATGTTCGGTGTAAGATAAAACCTGGCCAGTTGCCGTGAATAAGTTTCACTTCGAAGTGAGCGCCCGTTTGTGTAATCTGTCTCTCGTATCTATTGTCTGTTTCGCGCTCTTAAACAACAACATGCGACACTTCAAAAGACCATTAACTGCAAGGTGGGCAACCAAAACAAGACGAGGGTCAGTCTGTTGGCCTTGCCGTGTCTTTGTTTTTAGTACACAATAAAAACATCGCCGCCTCGAAGGTTAACGCTCCTAGAAATGACGTGTGGCTGAGGCAGTCTGCTCTTGGCATATGTCACGCTCTTTTTATTGCTTTTTCTATATTCGGCGCACAACAAAACGATGCTTCTATAGTTGCGAATGGGCTCGCTAGTAGAGAAGCCTTGTTGCGACAGATAAAACAGTATAAAGTGCACAGTAACCAGTGAATCTCCCTGAATTTTATTGTTTTCGAAACTACTGAGACCTAAGGTGAATCTTAACAGACGAAAGTCAAGTGTGCGACCCTATACTGGAACACGAATAATTATTCTATGTTACCAAGACTTTAAGCCATTGGCGGGATTTTATGGGTGGGCGTGTGTTTGTATGTGCACGCGCGTGTGTGTGTACTACATACAAAAAAAAGAAATTTCGATTATTAGTAAGTTATCCTGTCACAAATACGAGAGGCCACACTATTGTCGCAAGAAGGCGGTACGTGTAAGCGATCGAGAGGACACACAGCAAAAAAAAAAAACAAAAAAAACTTGAGACAGCATAAGACCAAAACGACGACACAGAGACAAGGACACGAAGAGACAAGAAGCGCTCGTGTCTTTCGTGTCCTTCTTGTCTCTGTGTCGTCGTTTTGGTCTCGCGCTATAACTATCGTCGTTACTCTGAGGTTCCTGCACGTGCGAGCCACGACGTCAAAGGTATTGATGGCGTCTTCCGAAGCCTACATGATTTTTTTTTTCTAGCAGCAAAAGTTAATCGCGTTGCTTTCTATAAGGGAGCGACAGAAATATAGAAATATTTGAAGAATAGCCAATGCGGGCAAAGTACAGGAGACTAAAAGAAAGCTTTTTTTTTTTTTTAGAGCTTCGTTTTCACGCATGTCGAGTGGTTTTAGCTAAACTCAAAAGCATGAACAAAGGAAAGAAACACGAAGACGGCGATGAGTTTTCTTCATCCACGCATTTGTACTTTGCTGCAACCACTCGACATGCAAGATCACCATGCAAACTATAGCCCAAATGCAAACCATTCATTTTTCCTTTCGGTAATAAGAATATGACGGCGATGTTAGCTTCTCACATAATTCTCACATAATTATTTGTATTTTCATGCCGATTAAGAATTTCTCTTTGGTGTATAATTCAGTACCTCGCCTGCAGTTATTCAAGCACCAGCGCGTTCACCACCAGGCGTGAGTATATACACGCTGGCGTTTCACGTAGCGGTTGGTAACGGACGTTTCATCGGCAAAGGCCAGGTCGCAGCATTTAAATTTAAGCAGGTGAAAAACGACAGCAGCTGCTGCACGACAAAGTTGCCAAGTTTTACGAATTTACCCGGAGACGCGCTCACGCCAGTTGTTGTCTTGTACTAAAGCAACAACTGTGTGTGTGTGTGTGTGTGTGTGTGTGTGTGTGTGTGTGTGTGTGTGTGTGTGTGTGTGTGTGTGTGTGTGTGTGTGTGTGTGTGTGTGTGTGTGTGTGTGTGTGTGTGTGTGTGTGTGTGTGTGTGTGTGTGAAGAGAGAGAGAGAGAGAGAGAGATTACATTCAACATTAAAGTACACGTTCAAGCATCTGCCGTCAAGTATACTGCACTGGTAAACAACGGCTTTGTATATTTAATCACGGATATGCCAAACTGCCTTACCAACCCAGTCATTCTTGTCGTTCCCAGTGTATCAAAGAGAGCTCAGCAGTTTTTTTTTTTTTTTTTTTTCACAAGCCAGATCAGCCGTTTCCTGTCCTTTACGAGTAGACCACACACTCTAAGTTGCGGCGATCAGTCGCGAGGAAATCATTAGCGTGACCCGGTATTTCAGTCTAGACTGAAAGAAAACCAGATTGCTGGGTCACTTTTTCGTCTTTTCTACTGCGTGCCTCCGGTGACACAGGTGCCCGTACTCGAACAAGAAGAGGCCGTGCCCTCATTACGGTCCAGTATTGAAACAGCGCCTGTTTTCGCTACCGGGCACCCTCTAAAGCGCATGCTCCTTGTGCCGATTGTTTTCGCAGGTGTTTCCTGTGACAATGTCGATGATGGCGAGCTTTCTATCGGCGGTCGCAATACTGGGCGTACCTTCGGAGAGCTTCATACACGGCTCGCAGTACGTGGTCAACTTCATCGGCATCATCGTGGGCATCATATTGGCCGTCCACGTCTTTCTGCCGGTGTTCTACGAGATCGACATGATCAGTGTCAATCAGGTGTGCACCAAGCGTTGCAGTTCAAGAAAAAAAAATCAGGTTTATTTAGTACACGATCTAGTTTAACTCATTGTGGGGCTAGTTGGTGCACTGTACCAAGGAAATATATAGCCGGATACATACGAACACAGAAAGCTATGAATAAGACAAGAAAGCGGCTACTACAAGCTTCTTACTAGCCAAAGCGAGGCTAAAATATACTCACGCGATCACATGATCACATCATAACCGACCGAACTAACCATAAATTGCACGTCAGTTTTATATCATGCATTTTTGGTTAGTTAGGCCTCACCTCGGTGATTAAATAGTTAAAAACTAGCCAATGTCTTGTCTCCTTCAACGCTTCCTGTGGTCCTCCACGTTTCGTTGGATACATTTTTCTTTTATACATCATCGTGATTATAATAAAGAAAATGTATTTGTTCAAAAAACAAACGGATTGTGTTCACCTGAGGCAAGCAGATTCCTGACCCGCCAATGAATCGGCGGACAACATGCAGTTGTTCGGATACATAGAGGTGGTATCTCGTACAGCGTCGTGACTTGAAGTTCAAGTGAGTGCTGGCTTCCGTAGATCAATAACACTGGTTGCCTCTGATGAAGTGATGTGTAGTGACGGACGCACATACACGCCACGTACGACATGCGATCGAAATACCCCCGTCACTACACTGCAAGCCGGTCTCGTGCAGTTCTATCATAATTGCGTACGCAACAAATTCCGAAATTCCACAGAAAAAAAAATCAACAGCTTCAATCCCTACACAACACAGCTCTTGTAGCATGCGTGCAAATCATATAATGCCTTGTTCAGTGAAGGTACGTCTGCATCGCAGTGAGAAAGAGAGGCGTTTTAAGTTTCGTAAGCGTAACCACAACGGCACTGCCTGGCGATCATATTTATTTATCATAGATGCTCCCGAAAACATGTTTCACTATAATCGTACGAAAGAAATATTTTTAAGCTGCTGTTTATCTTAGTATTCCGCATGCTGCGCGTGTATAGTAGCAGTTACTTGCAAGTACAATTTATTGAATTAAATTTCATATTGATATCCGAGAACGAGAACTTAATCTAATGAACACCAATGCCTTTGCTGCTCTTGAAAGGGTCAATTGTTAAAACATATGCCAGCATTCTAAATACTATGTTTGACTTTCATTGATGAATGAAACTTATATTCGTCATTATTTACGGCACTATAGAACTCGGTTATGGTACTGACGTATACTTAACTTGCTCTTTATCGTGCAGTACCTGGAAAAGAGGTTCAAATCTGTGCTCATCCGGAAGCTTGCGTCGTTGATGACTACTGTGCAAATGGTATAGTTCCCTGCAGCCTGATATTTAAGTGCCCGTCCGTTCACGTTCCAGCATTATTTCTTTTTTGTGCATTTCAGTGTTTCTACATTGGAGCAGTGCTGTACGCTCCGTCGCTTGCGCTTGGATCCGGTGAGTGGCGTTGGCATTTTATGATATGAAGGTCTCAACACGTTAGCCTCAAGTTAAACTCGTTAGGTGCGCAATAAGGCTGTCGTTAACACATTTAACGTTCTAGTACGGAAGCAGGAAAAATTATTTTATGTATTTATTTATTTTGTAAGGAGGAAGAAGAACAATACGCCAATAAACCTCGTTTCTATTTATTTATTTATTTAACCTTGCTCAGTTTTCCGGGTTTGACGGCAACTCAGTTACATAACAACTTTTTAAGTCTGTTATAATCATTTCTTGGGGAATTAGAGTTGAAAAATGCGGTTGTTGTTGTTGTTGTTGCACACCAGCAGAATCCCCATGTATAGTGCATACGCGCACAACGCGACACACACACACACACACACACACACACACATATATATATATATATATATATATATATATATATATATATATATATATATATATATATATATATATATATATATATATATATATATATATATATATGCGCTAAACATCGCACATACTGATTTTGTTTGCACGAACGCAGAGATGCAGATGCAAAGCTGCCTGGTGAGTTGGAAAATTGCCGGCACCCATACTTTTACGGTCAATGCATAGTGCTTGAAAGGAATTCCGCGGTTTATTTTCATTGTATGTGGCTTCGGTTCAATGCTCTCATGTACTTTCACAAAGTGATTTCGCACAGTGTCGAGTACTCGGTGACGAACATGTTAATTCATCGATTCCTTCATAGTTTATAAGTGTGAAATTCAATTAGGACTATACTGTGCATGGTGTCTCAGGTGTGTTTCCCTTACTCGCTAATACTCGGAAAAATGAGATATTGTACGCGCTCATAAAACTGCGCTTCTGATTATCAATCTACTTCGTGCAGTGACAGGCCTTCCAGTGCAGGCCTCCATCTTGCTCAACGGTGGAGTCTGCGCCTTTTACACGGCGATTGTGAGTACCAGCCCAATTTTTCTCGCTCTCTTCACATTTAATGCTGTGACGCTTAGGAACTACCTCTAAGAATGAATTACGCGAACCGATGAAATGTTAACCCTCGGAAAATAACTCCAAGGTTACATTGTAGAGAGTAGAAAAATTGGCGTCAGCCAATTGGACTAGGTTTACTAGAAACAAAGTCAACACACACACAAAAAAATTGCACGCTCGTCTACATCCAAGTTCGCGCACGTGCCGCCAACAATATCGAAATTTCTATTTAGGGCAGGTTAGTAACCGCGGAGCCAAGCCATTGGAGTGAGAAAATAACTAGAAGAATAAGGATGAGGTGGATCACATTCTGCAAGCATTCTCAAATCATGACATGGTAATCTGCCACTAATCTTCAAGAAGAAAGTATACAACAGCTGCATCTTGCAGGTGCTTACCTACGGAGCAGAAACTCGGAGGATAACAGAGGGTTCAGCCTAAATTGAGGGCGGCACAGCGAGCGATAGAAAGCAAAATGATAGGTGCAACCTTAAGAGACAAGAAGAGAGCAGAATGGATCATGAAGGGAACAAACCAGGGTTATGAATATCATAGTTGAAATCAAGAAGAGGAAATGGACATGGGCCGGGCATGTAGCGCATAGACAAGATAACCGCTGTTCATTGATGGTAACTGATTGGATTCCCGCAGAAGGCATACGCACGAAGAAGAGACCGAAAGTTAGGTGGGCCGATGTCATGACGAGATTAAAGCAGCTAATAACAAGGCAGAAGAAAGCAAAAAACCGGGTTGATTGGCGGATCATGAAAGAGGCCTTTGCTCTGTAGTTGGCGTAGTCAGGCTGATGATGCTTCTTGCAGTGGTCTGCCTTTGATCCCGGGCTTCTGCAGTGAGTAAAAATATGAAGCAAGCATACTAAACAGCAGGACATGCGACGCCATAACCCTGCATGCTTTATTAAAGAAGTTGGATAAAAGAGGCAGCGGGGTTTGCTTTGTCGACTCAGCCTCATATAAAGACCGAAATAAGTTCGCCGCGGTATAGTAGTTGACCACCAGGGCAGGTGTACCAACTGTGCCACAGTTTACACTTCCAAACCAGAAGTCGCTGAACAGGTTGCTATCGCGTTGGCCCTGGCGGATGATCGATACACCGAGATATACAGTGACTCAAAACCTGCCATCAGAGCCTTCAGCAGGGGCAGGATCACACCACAAGCAGTTCGAATTATTAATAGTAAACTGGCCATTGATACACATTACATATATTGGTTCCAAGCGCACCTTGGATCAGTCGATGACATTCCCATGAATCCAAATGAATCGGCCAACAGCGTTGCCCGCGAACTTACGGACCGGGACGCTTTTACACGTGGCCTTGATTCTGCTGGATTCGAAAATCTACAACGGGATACGCCCATGACATATAATGAAATAACTAAACATTACTACCTGGGGAGGAGAGAGTTTGCACCCCCTCACAGTAGACTAAACAGAGCACAAGCGGTCACACTTGGACCATTACAGACACAGTCTTATTACTCACCGGCACAGGTAAAAGAATGGTACGATATAAAAGATATGGTTGTTGTTTGCAAGGCATGTAAGAAAGAAGTATGCACGCTTGATCATATGCTCTGGGAATGTGGGTCGCTTGGCCGTGGCATTTCCCGGGAACGGTTTACAGGAATGATAGTCTCTCGATCATATCCCCCAAGTCCTGGCTGTCCAGTACGCCCATGACAACGCTAGGAGGCTTGACCTCCCAGTCCCAACGTGGGATTAGCCAGGCAGGTGGCTACACCCTGTACAGGACGTATAAATAAAGTTGTTTCCATCCATCCATCCATCCATCCATCCATCCATGCTTTTTAAAGACGCACGGGTCAAACCAACGTTGGGTCAAGCTGAGCAAAAGTATTGCACACCACTCTTCCTCCCCCCTCGCAGCCAATTGGGCTACCCCCTCCCCACTTTTGCCTAGGGGGGGGGGGGCGGGGCTGGCACGCCTATAATTCTTGAGCGCGTTCATCGGCTACGTCATATATGATTTCGAGCCAGTTAAAGAACGTCCTTCCCGTGGGTTACAATAAAAAAAAACAGTCGTTTATTGATGAATGTTCACTCATTGACGTATGGTGCTATTTTGAATGCAGCTAGGAGGATTAATGACAAAATCGTTCCTGTTTCACAGGGAGGAATCAAAGCCGTCGTCTGGACCGACGTAATACAGATGGTGCTGATGGTTTCTGGATTGCTTATTGTCTTGATTCAGGTTAGGACGTTTTCATTGAATACACTAACGCATGTATCATGTGCAGTTTATTAAAGCCGGTGAACGAAATGATAAAAAAAACGCCACCATTTTCCTAGCAGTCATTGTTCTCAGTTAGGAGAATTGCGGAAGTGTACGTTAATATGTACTTTCATATAATAAAAACAGACTAAGTAGACCCAACGAACATAACATATAATAAAAACAGACTAAGTAGACCCAACGAACATATTCGAAATTATTCAGGGTGCCGAAAGTATAAAGCGCCTCTCGTATTACCTGCGTACGAGTTCAGGTTGTTGCACTATGTTTACCGATTGGCTTTTATAGTGCACCAAGAATACAACGCTACTTGATGGGGTATCGACCATTGATGAGTGTCTGGCTTACGCGGACTTCTTGGCGTTCCGTCTCCCTTACGAGCGCACCATGCTGGAATGGAGTCACGCCGCTTCATTTACAAAACCGCCACATATGTTAGGTGATCAAACGCTGTTTAGTGCCATACATTAGATAGACTCGTAGCCACTGTTATATTGCAAAATGAACATGAAAGTTAGATCAGCTTTCATTACAGGGCTTAATTATGACTGGTGGACCTGCGCCAGTTTTTGAAGCCGTCGACAAGCATGGACTATTGGAGTTTTTTGAGTAAGTGTATGATACATCAGTGTTTTCGTCAATTTTTTTTATTTCAACGTTGTATGGTAATAAGAGTGAGCGACGCGTCTAAGACAGCAAATTCTTCGTCGGATGTACCAGGGGCGCACCTGCGACTTCTCACTGTCACTCTAGTGATAAACGAAGGTTTCAGAGCTCGGATTCTGCGGTGCTTGACTAAAGCAGCAATAGCACCACTTACCACTGTGATAAGATAAACAGAATGGGAGGGTTTCCACGTTGAAGTGATGATCGCTGATTGAACACAGCTTCCAAGGGCAGGAGAGGCCCCGCCCACACGACCGAAGCGCGGCAACTGATTGCCTTTACAACTACATAAGTCTAGCTTATCTACTATAGGTGATGTTGGGGTCACCCAGGTTGCGGCTTATGACGTCAGTTAAGAGCGCACACTCATTTGTGCAGGCTTTTGTTCATAAGCCTTTGAGGTATGAAATGCCGCTGCAGTTGTACGTGACCGTAGTTTCGTTATTTCGGGATATGCTGTTCTCAGCTTGCATTACACGGTAAGCAGAAAAGTGTACGCGATGCATCAGAGCAACTGTTTAAATTGGAATCATCCAAGATAGTTAACGAATGCGGCAGACCCCTAAATATTCAAAAGAATCAACATACCTTCTTTCAACTTAGGGCTCGTTTCAAAAACGCGGATCACGTGGAGACCTTTTCATTGCGGTGGTAATTATATGGGCACTCTCGACTGAATTTTGCCGCCGGCGTTGCCGTCACTCGCCATATATATATATATATATATATATATATATATATATATATATATATATATATATATATATATATATATATATATATATATAATGTGTGTGTGTGTGTGTGTGTGTGTGTGAAACCTCAAGAACGAAAAATAGACCATAAAAAAACTCCGACGCTCGGAATCGAACGTCAAACCTCTGAATTGTGAGTGCGAGGCGTTAGCCACTGAACCACAAAGGAGCACCTCCTTCACTGTTCGTACGGCAGGCCATTTATATCCACCACTTACCGCTGGTAATGGGCATCTCAGGGGGAACTATGTTTTCAGCATTACCAGCAAGATGGCGCAACGAGCGCACGTCGCCACATCGTCACTACGCGGCGACGCGCGCTCTTATCTGCCACGCATACTTTGCCCCACGGAGAAGGGAAAGGGTGGATGCTCATACGTGCGCTTGCTTATCTCGCGGTGGGGACAATCGTACGCCTTGACTGGCCTTGAGCTTTTACCGGAATGATTCTGTTGTAGTTACCTGGCGCACAAAGGTCACTGCAATTGTTTCACAGTCTCCGTTTCCAAAAGGGGCGCGCTTTTCAGACACAGCGAGTTAACAACTGTGCAGTTTATTCGCGTTCATCTCTACCTGTGGGTACGTTTCGTGCGTCATTTTTACGTGAGAAACGTGGGGCAGGTTTATATCTGCTTGCCATTCTGCGCGTGACCTTCCAATTTGTTGCCATCGTGTTCATTGCTTCGCAGTTACGGCAAAGCTGTGACTTTTTTACGCGCCGTGGCGAAGGCAGCTGGACAACAAGCGTTTGTACGGTTAACCTTGGATTCGTTAAGACTTTCAAAGCATTTTCAAGTCCTATGCGCTGATTAAAATTCGTTGGGATCTACACTGAAGCGTACGTAACAGCTCAATCTCAATGTTGCTTAGGCATGTCAAAAGTAATTTTATCAGGATGTATGAGTACCTTATTCGTAATTCGCAACGTAGATTTCATTTCAACAAATACGGTTTTGATCCCGGCCACGGTGGTCGTATTTAAATGGAATCGAAATGCTGGAGGCCCATGCACTGTTAGTGTGCGCTGTCGGTGCACGTAAAAGAACGCCAGATCGTCGAAATTTCTGGAGCCCTCCATACGGCATGCCTCATAATCATGCAGGAGTTTTGGCGCGTAAAACACCAGGTACTATACTGTTTCTACCCATGGTATACGGAATATGAAAACGGAATCGTTTGCCGCGTCAGCATGCTTTCCAGCACCCGAATATGCGCGTTTGAATTCTTTGCGTGCGTGCCCAGGCGACGACCTTTTACCGTCGATAATGTCAGGAACTGTGTTGGCGTGGGTGATATTTTCTTGATTTAGATCATTTTTTCGTTATACGTGAACGTGACGTCATTGTAGTTAAACTTTGACAAGGCAAAGAAAAAAAAAAACGCCAGGCCTGCACGGAAGGCGCAGCACAGTCACAGCGAAACCTAGACGAGCGGCCTTTCGCCCCGCCGTGGTGGTCTAGTGGCTAAGGTACTCGGCTGCTGACCCGCAGGTCGCGGGTTCAAATCCCGGCAGCGGCGGCTGCATTTCCGATGGAGGCGGAAATGTTGTAGGCCCGTGTGCTCAGATTTGGGTGCACGTTAAAGAACACCAGGTGGTCGAAATTTCCGGAGCCCTCCACTACAGCGTCTCTCATAATCGTATGGTGAATTTGGGACGTTAAACACCACAAATCAATCAAATCAGAAGAGCGGTCTTTCAGAGCTTTTCTAAACACTCATTGGATAACTGCTGCAAGCACACTTGCTTGATACCCACTACGGCATTAATATTAAAAATTTTGTGTAGTAGTCTGGCATTCCTTATGCTATTTTTCGTCATTCTGTAGTATCATTCTGTGGTTTAGCGGTACCCGCTAAGCGCTTGCAAGTAATTTCGTGCGAATTGTTCGTGCAGTGGCTGGCGACGATGAGTAATTATGCCGGAAGTGGGCGTGCTCCACAGTTAATAGGTGATCAAGAACAAGCTTTCGTAAAGGGTTGGGGCATTGGACGACCTACTCGTTGCGCTATTCGCATTGTGCGACGACTGGTTGAATTCTTTCGCTGTTTTAAAACGCTTTATAAATCGTATTAACGTGATTGCTTTCCCGACATCAAGCCTGCCTAAGGCAAGTTCGACAACAAGCCACAAGCACCGGTGTGGCTCAGTGGTAGAATACTGGGTAAAATAGCGGACACGAGTTCGAGCCCCCCTGTGTCATTGGTACTAGGTCTTTTTTTTTCTAGTTTCTCGCGATGTGGTTATGGACACCGGCGGCGGCGGCGGCGGACAACTGTGTGGGACCTGAGTTGTGATCTCACAATAGCTTTCGCTGTAAAAAAAGCAAGAAAATAAAGACAGCGAGCTCTGTTATATTTGTTAACAACAAACGTGTCCTAACAGCGCCGTGTGGGTGTGCTGTTGTATTTTAGATCTACGTCACGACAATCAATGAAAAGAACAATAGGAATAGTATAGAATTACACGCTGCTGCACAATAGGAGATGCGCAAAGGCGGCACATGATCGGCACAACAAACCTCTCAAGCGTCTGAATATCAAAGCTTCTTTATGGAAAAGTGACGCAGACAAACTTTAAAGACCGATAGTGTGAGACGAAGGCTAGTTATAATGCGACCGCACCTCGTGCGAAGACGACAAACGAACCATAACGCTATACCTTTGTCGGTTACTGTCAACAGACCGTCTTTGTCAGAGTGTCGTGTGTTGTTTTTACGTGCGCGGCAGTCACATTCAATGTCTCCAGCGCTCGTCTTCGTCTGTTTAAAACGGTGCGCTGGTTAAGCCCATTTTTCCAGACATTGAAATTTGCTGCAAGTTAGCACACTTTTCCGAGAGTGCTTGGTTGACTGTGTATAGCTCTCCTTAGCGCTAACAGCGTTGCCCGCGACAGCAGCACAAGGGCGACACTCACAAGCGTGTGTGTGTCACCTTCGTCGCGTTCCACGTCGAAAAGGTTTTGTGTTAATACGACGGATAATGCGCTGCCAACAAGCCCCGTCAAGCATTTCACTCCTATGATGTCCTTCTGTCGATCGCCGCTTCGGAGGAGCAAAAGTAGCGGTTATATACAAAAGTATTTTTGAGCAACTTTACTCTGAGAAGGTGGATGACTAGCGATGTTATTTATTTATTTATTTATTTATTTATTTATTTATTTATTTATTTATTTATTTATTTATTACATTTAGGCCCAATTGACAGGTGGGAAGTTTCAATAGGACATCGTGAATACAGAAAAATACATAGCAAATTATTTCGGACTGGTGTGAGAACAGTCACGACAACTATACTAATGCGACATTAAAACTATTTCGTAATTAATATGCTGTAGGCCCATGTGGTCTGATTTGGGTGCACGTTAAAGAACCCCGGGTGGTCGAAATTTCCGGAGTCTTCCACTAAATCATGTGGTGGTTGTGGGACGTTAAACCCCACATATCTATTTCGTAATTAATGTGAATAATGGGCGTAATGAATAAAAAGTATCAATACTACGTTATCTCTTGCAAGTTCTGTAAGAATAAATACTGCGATAAATGCAAAATGTTTATCACAGTGAGAGGTGCCACGTAATTTTAAACCATAGCAGATCACACATGCAACTTAATCTGAAATCTGTCCAGATATGTTGTCTGAATTCACGTATGCTCATCTAACTTTTTTTTTTCGAGCACCACGGTACTTGATTGAAATACGAGCTCGTCACTGCGCAGGTACACAAGAGATGTACGAGTGCATTTTCCCATTTATTTATGAATATACTTATGCGCTTGTGTTTGAAATGCCATGAATCACCCAATCAGACATTCCGACATGGCATTCGCGCCATTTTTGTCGCGTTCTTATAGTTTCGCCGTATACTTCGTCTTTCCAGGCTTGTCGCATGCGCCTGACGTGTCTGACGGAGCACTTACACACACGCGTGCGTTTAGTTGTCCTATCAAGTTCTTCACCGATTCACCGTATATAAAACACGTTGTAGTGGGCGCTGGCTTGTCTGACACGTGCTTTTCTTCTCTGCGCACAGTTCTTGGTCCAAGAAAAGTTGCTCATGTTCAACCAACTAGCCCATTGTCAAGTTTTCAAGTATAACGAGTACATGTGCACTTTTTCAATGTTACCGTATTTTGAAATGTCTAGCGCGCTCGGTCGATGTACATTAATCACATTTCTCCACGAACTCTTTTTCACTGCCAAGCATGAGCTTCGACATGCAGAAGACCTTCACCTTCTGGAGTGTGGTCATCGGCTGCTCTGTCGTCTGGAGCATGGCCTTCTGCACCAACCAGAGCATGATTCAGCGATTCTGCGCCCTCGGCTCCATTCGCAAGGCACGCACGTGAGTCATCCAGAAAGCGACTGCGCCAGATGACGCCAGAAAACAATGTCACGGGCACTTTCGTTATCCCGTCTCCATGCATTGTACGTGGGTGACCACGCAGATAAAATCGAAGGTGTGGATAGCATATAGCATGCACTGTGTTTCTTTAAGATGATAGTTACCTCCACTGAGAGTGAGTGTATTTACTTCAGTGATTATATATATATATATATCCCACGTTAGCGAAGCTCCAGTTCCATGTAACCTGGCTTTTTCTTTTTAATCCTTGACTGTTGCCATGCCCACACAGTTTCCCACTAAGCATAACGAGGGCGCAAGTTTGGTTCCCTGCGACCGCGGCCGCATTTCGATGAAGGCGAAAGCCCCAACGTTTTTCTTTCAAGCTCTGGTCATGTCAACAAAACTACTGACTGATCAATTCATTTTTATTCAAATGTTGCATATATAGCCACTATTTTTATGTGGCAAATCGTCGTATGTAATACGACGATTTGTATAAAACATTCAATGCTAAAAAGTTAGAACATCATCGTCGACGGAGGGTGGAATGGGACAGGGTTTAATCCCCCCTTCCACCACCTCAGCCCAATGAACTTTTAATAAAGTTTATTCCTTCGTTCTGCGCGTAAGACTTTGAGTAAGGCGCACTAATGCACAACGTAAGTTGTGCACATTGTTCCGGAGCTGTGGCATATCAATGCTGAGGACACAGGTTAGTGCCCACAATGCCAATGAAGGATCACTCATTCGGGGAAGTTGGCGACAGTACGATCTCTCGATCATGCACTTACAGCCAGGGATGCGCGCACTCCGATGCACTTTCAAAACGCACGCTCGCACTCGCAGGGCGCTGTACATCAACATGCTGGGCGTGGCGATCACAATGACGTTGGCTGTATTCTGCGGCTTGGTCCTCTTCACTCTTTACCATCAGTGCGATCCAGTCAAGGCGTCCGTTATCAACAAGTACGATGAGGCAAGTGAACAAACTTCCAATCATCACCTGACGTTTCTGCCATCTCATTTATTCAACTCGCCCATTATATATGTTGCTGCATCTCGCAGCAAGTGATAAAGTGATAAACACGTGTGCGTGTTTTAAGATCGATCGCATTACATGGAGAATTTCCGTGGCAATACTGATAGCAACAAAAACACAGAGGACCGCAAAGGAAATTTCCTAGCTAGTGTGTACACAATGTCCGCCCTTATCGTTGCGTGTTTCGTTGCTCTGTGTTCGCGGCTGAAATTATGTCATTAAGCAAGTACCAACTAGGTCGACAGTATTATGTGAACAGGCAAGGCCACCCGATGTAGTGCCATCCACTACGGCGTCTCTCATAATCATAAATGGTGGTTTTGGTACGCTAAGTCCCACATATCAATTAATCGATCGATCAATCGATCATCACCGAATGTTGTCGGAAGAATTTCTTCCAAAAAGTCCACGAATACCTTTTTTTTTAACGCCAGTGGCTTTTGTGCACCATATATTTTGTCACCAGAAATATTCCCCTCGTAGCAAAAATTTTCAGCGCACACGTGTTACATACTTCACGCAGTTAAGTTTCTAACTCGACTAACTTGTATATTTAGTCGAGTCAGCAAGCTCACTTGTAGATATGGCAGCTTTTACGACGCACCATAGAACGTAATCTAAGGCACCCTGATTTAATAACCACAGCGATAAATCATTATCGAAAGTTTGTTTTGGTTGCAGTTAATGCCGTACTTTGTGATGGACACATTTCATTACCTGCCTGGCATAGCTGGGTTCTTCGTCACAGCCGTCTACAGCGGATCACTCAGGTACGACGGGAGCACCGCTCCACTATTATTTGTCCTCATAGTCTCGATGTGAACTGTGTGTGTATCTGGTAAGTCGTGACAGACCCCACTCAGATAGGAGGACTTTGCCAATTAGGGCGTAGGTTCGACTGCTGACCGAAAAGTCGGACAAGGCGTCCTCGAGCTTATGCGATGAAACACAAGAATCTGAAAAGGAAAAGCACGCAAGTGCAGGGTGGTGACGAAATGCAAGAATATCTGTGCGCTTACACACAGGTGACCGTTGATAACCCAATTTCACGGTTTTGTACCGTTCAATTGCAGAGTGTAATCTACCTTATCAGCGACGTTATAAGACAAGCCGTTATGTGTTTATATATATATATATATATATATATATATATATATATATATATATATATATATATATATATATATATATATATATATGCGTGTGTGTGTTATGCAGTGTGTTACCCTAGCTTTGTCATGGTGTGATAAAAGGCACAAAGGATCAATATGCACTTGTAGCACCACAAAGGCAGCGACGATGTGAATGATACTGTACAGATAACAAGGTCGTGTCGTATCGGTAACCCGACAACCGCCCCATATTTGTCATGGCGCATGGCATGTAAATACATGCCCCATGCCGTATTTGGCATCGGGCATGCAACTTTGTTTTTTATTCAAGTCAGAGTAAATATTTTAGAATTACGAACACGTCGTTATATTAGTATCCATGCTAAAATTCCATACTACAAAATTTTGTAGTATAACGGTGTCGGATGCATTTTCTGAATGCTAATTGTTTTTGTTACAGCACGATGTCATCAGGTTACAATGCCTTGGCTGCAATCACATGGGAAGATTTCCTGAAGCCTCAGCTGAAGCTGTCACCCAAGGGCATCATGTTGACGACGAAGGCAATCGGTAAGGTCAAATCACCACATGTTGAATTTTTAGTACATTACAATCCAGTCGCGTTATAACAGAGGCAGTCGACAAACGGGCTACGAGTACATTAATCTTCTATATGCCTTCCCACGCGTTTTATAGAAGCATACTGTAGGTTAAGGCCAAGTTTTCGAGCACGATGCTGTAGCTCGAACTCGATCTACGGGTCACACCTGCCACGGATGTAAGGTCGGCCCCAAACATGTGCAAAGGTGCACCATACATGTAGGAACAATTATTTTTTTAGTGATATAGATCCCACTGAAGTGTGAAAACCACTGCCTCTTTAGGCTTGCTTCTCTGTTGTGTTAGTACATAGCTTACATTTTGGCAGGTTCAACATAGAACAGCTAATTTTCGAGTATGCCAAGTTTTTGTTCATACTTTAGAAGTATTGGGCGCGACGAGGCCCACCACTGGAGGCGCGAGCGCTGCAATCGCTGTGACGTGCAAGGTTGGATCACGTGATCTCGCCTCGCTCTGGCGAAAGAGGAAGCTGGCGGTTGGATGCATTGATTTTAACGGCGACTTCGCGGGTTTTTTTTTTTTCATTTTCGAACAGCGTTGTATTGCTCTAACTTCATCTGTGTGGACTTCTGCAGACTACACAATGCGGAACGTTGCAGTAAACGTTTCCGGCGGCGTGTCCCAGTGCTCTACGTACGCGATGTTACCGTCGCGAACGTTGGCAGTGCCACTGTCACCTCTTTTTCTTTGTTGTTGTGGTTGTTGTTTCGAGCCAATGGGGTTAAAATGAGACGACGCCGACAGTCAGGCATTGTGAAAAGCGTAACACTTTTCCGGGGCAGCTATTCAGCACTTCGTACAGTCAGGGAAGACGCTGGAGCAGCGTTTTACTGATTTAGTTAAGTGAAGTACAAGAATAATAATAATAATAATAAAGGAGACACGAAAGCGGCTGCGGGCTGCACGCAAGAGGGCGGCGGTGCAATCCAACCACGTACGTCACAGGAATTCCTCCGCATGGTGGCGCCACGGTATGTCCTCGCGCCCAATATTGATGGATATACGGTAATGTTACCGCGAGAAAGAACGAAGGAAAGAAGTGTGCGTTTAAGGGCTCGTTTCCTTTGTTAAGCACAACGTTAATTGGATCTAACAGACAATCATGGCGAGGAAATTATAGGGGACGTTATTATAATTGTAATGTAAATGTGAAGAAAAAAAGTGGACGAAAAGATGACTTTCTTCACACTTACATTGCAATTATTTCCAATAACGTCCCCTATACTTTCCTCCGCATTATTGTCTGTTGGATCTAATTAATAGTGTGCCTACCACACTAGAGAGAACGTTAGTTATATGTACTGTTCAGTTGCACGAACTTTTTTTTTTTTCAAGTCCCCCACCAAATATAGTGCAGAGCACTTTTCAGTTCTACGAACTTGCTGTGACACCGTCGCCGCTTCCCACGTCATGCTGATCACAAGTGCGCAACCGCAAATTCTGTAGCATAGCTTCACCGTGGTCTTCGCGATAAGTTTCGCAGGCGGCGCACCGTTGGTGCCCGTCATGAAGGCCATTATTTTACGCTAATAACGGCGCTTCATACAACGTGACGAAGAGTCGGGCCCCTTCCGCTTTGAACAGAACTCGCTGGTTACGTATTTGACTGCGTTGAGACACGCACTATACCGTCTACTGAAGAGACTGTAGCGAGCGTGGTATACTTTGGGAAGAAGCAGAGGAGGAGGAAGATGTAACCCTTGCAGAGGAAGCACCAAGAATATCAGCATTCCTTTTATATAAACTTTGAAATTTTCCCTTATATTAATCACCGGTTTACATGGCCAGTGCCCCGTAGTGGATACGCGTCGCTTGTAAACGGTCAAGTAAGCAATTTAAAACTGCAGTGGTGTACATGGAAAAGGTGAAGCCCTTCGCCGCCCATCAGAGCGTTGTCCCGGAAAAGGTTTATGAGATTTTGGACACAGTGGCTAAACCCATGACCACTTCAGTCCTAAGTGCACAAGCACAGCAAAAGCTTACCCTACTTGTCAAAACATGACACATAGGCAGACATTTTTCACACGCAAATAAGCCGCATTGCAAATACAATGGTTCGAATTTCTTTTCAACAACGGATGTTTACTTTAAATGCTGATAACAAGTTGCGACACAGGAATTGCAGTTCGTTGAACTTGCACGAACTTTTTGCTGGTACTCCATGAAGCCTTCGTTCAAGAGCAGTTTTTTTTTTTCCTTTGTGTGATTAAGAAAATATCGGCGCATAAATTAAGCTCCGGCTACTCCTTATTTTTTAGAGGTATGTAACACACAGCACGTAGGGTTCGAGTCTCCAAGCGTAAGAATTCCACAGCACATGCAACAAACGATTATAACAACACAATATACGATATATGACAGTTGGGACATGAGATTTCAAAACTTTTTCAACAATATCATATATGTGCATATGTGGTAATGTCAACAAACTGAAGTGTAACCATGCGTACAGCCAACAGTCACATAATTGCCAACATAATAGTCTATATACAGTCACATAAATATAGTTTTAGCGTTAAAAAAAGAAAAATAAATGCTCGAATGTCGGCCAAGAGTGATTGTGTGGTGCGAAGCACTTCGAGTGCTGCGCGGGCTGGCGTATGTCGTCGTCACTTGACGCAACTTAGGCAAAATCGCGTATAAAATAGGACAAAAAAAAAAGAGGAAGCAAGCAATAAACAGAGAGAGCGAGAAAGGGGAAGTATACGAAGAAAATTGCAATAAACATGAAAACAGAAAAAAAGTCAGAAAATAACTGCAACAGAGAAAAAGAAAGAGAAGAGAAAAGAAAACTGATGGGAAACACCCATCTCTGGCTTTTCTTCGCACTAGCCACCACAACAGCGAACAAGCTGCCTTGATAGTTTTAGGGAGCAACTACGTCAGCACGGCAAACAAAACTGTATAGAGTCCTCGTCAGTTATAATGGATTGAATATTTACCAAACGCGGACCTTACACACGGCTCCCGTGGTCACCTCTTTCCTGTTTTCTGCTCCTTGTGAAATATAGAGAACGACACGCACTTAAACTTTTGATGCCGATTAATGTTCGTTAACCATCATTTTTAACTACCATGACTTGAAAGCACATACTATGTATACCTTTCGCTGGTACTGCGGGATGAAACAACTACCTAGCGCAAGTTCATCGGTGATTATCATTTCAGCAGTATGGCACTCCGAGAGCGCTTATAAGCGTGCAATGGACAAGGTCACATGTACGAACAAGTTGCCCTTCACTTCTCTCTTCTCTTTTAATCCCCTCACCCCTTCCCCCAGTGCAGGGTAGCAAACCGGACGTGCGTCTGGTTGACCTCCCTGCCTTTCATTTCTTCCCTTCCTCCTCCCCCTCCTCTGCTTGTCAAGTGTCGTCCCCATATTCATGCTCTCGTCGCGACCATAAGTAACATCGCTTTTGTTTTGTTTTCCAGCTGCCGGTTACGGCATCCTCACGGTGATCATCGCATTCCTTGCCGGCAGCCTGCCTTCCGTCATGTCGGTGAGAGAGCCTTGAATCAATCGTCGTTTTGCTCCCATACACAGTGGTGCTGATGCTCTTTAAACATTTCACGCATATTTAGCGCTGAAGGCAATTCGTAAGCTGGGGGACTGAAACTTGTGTGTATCCCTTATTGCTCCTGAACGTTCTTCAGTAAAGACATCTAGCAAGAATTAAATGACCCAAAGCTTGCACTAAGCCATGCAAAGTTGTCTCGTGCTCATTTATTGAAACTTGGCTGTAGCAAAACTGAACTTGGCTCGAACTTGGCTGTAGGTAGGTTGTAGCAACCTTGGTCTCCATCTTCTCCGCTTCTCCAACTGCGGTACTTGACTTTGACAATGAGTGCCATGATCTGATGACGGTGGCGTCGGCGTCACTGGTAGAGCTCTGTTTCCTGATAGGATGAATCTTGCCGCAGAGAACGCACATGCGCAACATTTGCCACATTGTCACTCTCCCTGTATCCGGGATATTCTTGCCACCGTAGTATCTTCGGTTCCGATTGTCGGGCCCTAGCTGATACTCCGGATCTTCTCGGCGCTGCCGTTGGTGTTTGCGCATAGCGGCAAGCCTCGGAGCTTCTACCTCGGCAATGCGATATATGTTCGGGCGATCTACAGCGGCGTATAATTGGGCGCGAGTTCCATCGCAGCCATTTGTTGGGCTGACTGTTGCTTCTATTTTTAGTGTATCAGTGATGAGGCTGTGAGATTTACTTAATGTTCTTAGCATACACCCGTTTATGGTGATGATAGTTTCGTGATACGAGGTACAAGCAACGATTTTCTAAACGCCGTCATTGTTAAAAGGTGAAATCCCACCGTTCGCCCATCGTGTTTGGTAACGACTTCGGAATCCGCATTATGACAGCTGCAACACGATACGCCAATAACCGATGCGCTGCGCTAGGTATTTATCATCGTACCCGAAAATTGGATCCAACCCGGGATGTGTAAATGAATACGGGCCTTAGGCCCGTATTCACAAACGCTCCTCCACTCGACCCTTCACTCGAAACGCTCCTTAAGTGGCGTTTTCCCATTCACAAACCGCCCTTCCCTTGAAACGCTTCCTTCACTTGAAAAAATCTTGAGCGTTTCCTCGAGATTGTCAAGGAAGCGATCGAGCCTTTAAATTCAATCGAATGTATAATTTGAATACCGCTCCTCTTTCACTATTTATGAGAAGCCAATCGAGAGATGCACGCTCACACCAGCACAATTTGGGTGGATGCTGAGAGGGCGCGGTTCCTATAGAAACATGAATTCTCAGCCACTTGAGTTTGCCTTGATCCATAGGTTAGCAAGCGCACTCATGCGGCCACTTGCTCAGGCTCCCTCGAAATCGGGTATCGCACCGTGAGTTTAACTACGAGTCCGTGCAATTAATATTCCAGCAAATTCGAGTCCGGCTGAATCCGGCTGAGTCCGGTTGAGGAAAACTTTGGTGAGTCTGAGTATAAGGACACAATATTTTTTAAGTCTGAGCCAGCTTCCCCCTTCCCCCCCCCCCCTTTTTTTGCCACTCTGTGCCCCGGAAGCTTTCGCTGTCTAGCACACGCATCAGCGTAATGGCACATCGCTTTATTCAGCGCGCCTCGTTGTAAACGATTAAGCCTGCCGTGAAACACGGGACAACTGGGTCAGAGCTTATGCTATAGCGAGGGGTTATAGTTCGCATACCGCAGGTTGACACCCGCTTAGTAAACTGTTTGCACCATGTCAAGGAAAGGACTCGCTGAGAGAAAGACTTTCCATACGCAGGCAACTTTCGTCACAACTGGAGCCTTCGGCGGCGCCTATGGAGCCACCTTCTTCATCGGTATCCTAGTTCCATGGTGCGGAAGCCGAGTGAGTTCGTTTCGCATGAGTGGCCTTCCCCGATCTGCTTAGCATCTCATTGCGCAGAACTTCTTTATAGTATTAAAAGAACGTAGCATGTCGCAAGACTTTTTTTCTCTTAGAAAGTGCAGTATTCAAGAAGTCACATCGTACTTTTTTGTACTTGTTTATTCGTTTATTCGCTGCAGCCTGTGAGGTACCACATTCGGTTCCTTTCAAGCTGTTTTTGACGCTTTTAGCCGGAGGGAACTCAAATTTTCTGTGATGTAAATGAAAGTTCACGTTCAAGTTGATCAACCTACTAGCGCGTACTCATATGCAAACAAACCGTGAAGACCCTCTAACCGATGACGTTTTGAAGCCGATCACGAGGTCTCTGGTTCGAGTTCACGCTGCGGCAGCCAGAGCTGACCGGAGGCAAAGGACAAGACTAAATTTTGACGCGAATTACGGAACCCTAATTGATCTGAGTTAATCCGAAATCCTGCATCGCCCCTCTTCAAGTACCACAAGCCTTACGCTGCAGCACACTGAACATTGGTAACTATACAGCCATTATTTACCACACGGAATATGCACAGATCACTTCTCCAAACGCTAGCTGTGTGCGTATCAAGCTATCAATCATACACATTCCTCTTGGATATTTTTATTTGTGACGCGGCAATTAGGGCGACCTTAAAGTATCCGGCTGTTTTCCTTTCAATACTAGACAAGCAAACATTCTAGTATGATTGATAACTATCTGTGAGGACCGAAAAGAAAGCAGGAAAGTAAACAAATTCGAAAAAAAAACTAACGAATCCGCACTTTGTGACATGGACATACTTGTTTTTTTTTTAAATATAGATTCATTGTGTTATAAGTGAAGAGATTATGCTCGAATTCTGCAGCTAGAGGCTGGGGCAAAATGCGCCCAGAAAGACTAAGGAAACACAGAAATCTTCTGCCAACATTTCAAGCGGCAAATGCGATATACATGTCAACAGGGTTTTTTTTTTTTTTTGCATACCTATATAATGACTTCTTTTACACATGTATCTTTCCGGCACATTATCTCTACTCTCATTGCCAAATACTTCTCTCACGGTGTCACAATGTCGTCGCAGCGCCATCTCGTGCCATGAAGCCATGTTTATCCGCTTAAGAACAAACAAACAAAATGGCGCGTGTGTCTTCACATGTGTGTATACCAAATGTATTTTTCGGGTTACCACCGCAGTCTGCCTTGCTGTCTATGGTCACGGGAATGGCACTGTCCTTCTGGGTGTCGCTCGGAAGCATGCTCTATCCTGCAAAACCAGTGGCTGTCCGCAGTACGCTCGAGCAGTGCACGTTTAACTACACGACTCGGGTGCCCATTCATCGGACTGTTTACTCCGGGTGAGATATTGGCTGAGCCGTGTGGCTCCTGCTTTAGTCATGAGTGACGTTGCAATAATAGTGTCGTAGCAATTATAAAAAGAGAGAGAAGGGGAAAAAGGCAGGATACCCCATGGGGTGTTAACAAAATAGGATGTGAAAGTGAAATTTATGTCTGTCTGTCTGTCTGTCTGTCTGTCTGTCTGTCTGTCTGTGTCTGTCTGTGTCTGTCTGTGTCTGTCTGTGTCTGTCTGTGTCTGTCTGTGTCTGTCTGTGTCTGTCTGTGTCTGTCTGTGTCTGTCTGTGTCTGTCTGTGTCTGTCTCTGTCTGTGTCTGTCTCTGTCTGTCTGTCTGTCTGTCTGTCTGTCTGTCTGTCTGTCTGTCTGTCTGTCTGTCTGTCTGTCTGTCTGTCTGTCTCTGTCTGTCTGTCTGTCAATATAGATTTGTAGATTCGTATTGGGTTTAACAAAAAAAATCGCACCATATCCACGGAGTGAATAATAATGAGCGGGTCGAATCGTTCATCAGTCCGTCCACGCTTCCGTCCGTCCGTTCGTTCTTGCTTCCCCGTCCGTCCCTCTGTGAATCCGCCCCTTCATTCGTCCGTGTGTCCATCCGCGCGTCCGTCCATCCATCCATCCGTTCGTGCAACAGTCCGTGCGTCCATCGTCCACCTAGTGAACACTCCAACTACCACCATCTCGCATCTTCTCATCATCATATATTCATCGTATAGAAGTACCGCCATCCAGCGGTCATTCCAAGGAATAAACGAGAGGTGGCTACCTACTACTACTACTACATACATCGCGGACGAGCTTCGCCCCTAAAAACGAGAAACGGTGTGAAGAACTGAACCGAGAGAGACGGACTAAGAGCTGACTTGCGACCAGTCAAGCGTAAGTCAGCTCTTAGGTCCGTCTCTGTCCTGTGGTTCGCGCTGTCGCTCGTTTTTTATGGGCACGTACGAAACGACCCGTATAAGCACTCTAGTACAGCCGTTCCGTGCACACGGCTCGGTGTAACCGTGTGTTCATAACGTGTTTCTTCAAAGCACGCATGTGCAGCCCCTAATTTTGTTACTCTATCGCTTTTGTTTGCAGAGGAATATACGACCTGTACCATGTGTCCTACTTGTGGATTCCCGTTATCAGCTTCCTTACCACTATCATCGCAAACTTCCTCATTACGCTCTTTTGCGGTGAGTATACTTCTTTCATGCCGCTTTCCGGCAGTATACGAGTGGAAAACCAAATGCAACATGGTGACGCCTGACGCATCCAATGAAGCTTGAAGGGCCGTTCCACGCGCTTCCCGCACAGCCGCAGCGCACGTTCCGGGACTCCTACCGCACGCAAGCGGGGAACAAATAAGCCGATTGGCGACGCTGCGGAGGGTGAAAGAGCGTCGCCAATTGGGTTACTTGGCCCCCACTTGCGTGCGGTAGGGGTCCCGGCACGTGCGTTGCGGCTGTGCGGGAAGCGCGTGGAACGGCCCTAACGCCTGACCACGCGTACGCGTTCTGTCCCCTCATGACTTTCTGACGCGACGTCGTGCCATCTCCCTTGACAAAGAGGACGTGCGGCTATGCGAAAGTGCGCGCCCTCTCTCTCCTTAGGAGAGGGCGCGGCGCCGCGACAAGTAGCCACGCGCTGATGCTCTGAAACGCGTATGCACGTGGTCAGGTCTTTAATGCCTATTTTCAGCACATCTCCTAAGCCCCAAGAATCAACCGTTGTGAAAAGCGCAATTTTGTTATACCAGCGGTCAGTTCAACAGCTACGAAACAGCAGGTTAAAAACAAATAAACGTCACAGTGCTGTACGCTCCATTGCAAGGGTATCGGAAGCAGACGAATAAACTGTGTGTACTTTCGTCTTTTTCATAGGGTGAACGTGGTTCAGCGCGGCTGCGCTCCGCGGAGCGACAGTGCAACCAGTACGACCACGCATCGAAGCTTCGTGGTGCATGTGCGCAGGGATCGACACGAGATAGTTCACGTTATCTGCTACAGCGCTGGAGCGCGTAGCAGATAACGTGAAATTCCTGCAACTCTTCGATTCAATGCATGGCAATACCGGATACAATGGCGCTCCGCGGAGCGTGGTCACGCTGCGCCGTGTTCACGCAGAGTGGGCGGCAGCATGCATAGATTTGTTACCGAATTGCAGTACGTGCTTCAGTTGCGTAGTTAAGAAACCGTGAGCTTAACTCGCACATTTAGCGCAAAGACATAAAGAAAAAAAATCAACTTGAAGAAGTCGTGGAAAAGGCGTCGGGTACGGTGAGCAAACACATCCTGTGAAAAACGGACACTTACAGGAACACCTCAGCCAAATCTTGCAGTCGTAAGCGGCAACAAAACTTCAGATAGTGGTGGTGGTGGTAGTGGTGGTTAGAAGATGAGAAAAAGGCACCTAATTTCTGCAACCCGGTCGGGAGCACGGCGCGGTGCCCAAGAATAAGAAAGAATTACTCTATTCTCAAGTACGCTTTCTTCATACCCAAGCACGCCCGCACTCACTCTCTTCGGTGGGCGGAGCCAGCTGCTTTACGCCTAACAAAAGAGGGCATGTTATTGGTCAATAGCAGCGTTTGGATCATATGACCTTCTTACCGCGTACAGGCGCTGCGCTTCGTAGTCTGCTAACATTACACAGTGAACCACACTCGTGCACAGGAATCGCGGCAGGAGAGAGCATATCGCGTTTCATCTTCGGTGGGCGGAGCCAGCTGCTTTACGCCTAACAACAAAGAGGATGTTATTGGTCAATAGCAGCGTTTGGATCATATGACCTTCTTACCGCGTGCTGGCGCTGCGGTCCATAGTCTGCTAACATTACACAGTGAAACACACTCGTGCACAGGAATCGTGACAGGAGAGGGCATATCACGTTTCATCACGCACGCTCACGACGCGCGCTGACGTAACTTCCTTGCACGTTCTCGTCCCTGGCTGTGCAGCTTCCAGCGAGCTCGTGGGTGTGAGGAGAAAGTGTTTGAAACGTGCGACATATCCTTGTAACCCGGCTTTTTCTTGACAGATTTGCTGAAGTTTTTACGCCAATCGATTCGTTAGGCCATAAACTTCAATACTGCGGTCATTCGATGATTTAATGGAAAAGTGCTGCACCCCTTCAGACGGACCAACAACCAATTTTTATGGTGCCATTTTTTTTTTGCGCGGAATGGAAAAATTACCAGTCAGTCCGTGTGAGTCACGTAATTTCAAAGTGGAAAAGGCCGCGAAACATTTGTAATCGGAGCGAATATCAAGTCGTATACTCGCTTGCTGCAAACACTGAGCGTGCGGGCGGTTCGTATTCGATCGCGGTGGTTTACTGCGCATGCGTGCGCTCCGCGCGCATGCGCCATGGCCCGATTTGGTCCACCATAGGTTGCGACGGCAGCGCCGCTTTTTCACCATGCTAGTCATTTCACGTAGAAAGCAGCACAGAATTGAGCGGGGCTGGGTAATAATATACATACTTTAATTTTGAGGGCTGGTGCGCATGACAGCATCAGTTTACGCGACTACGTGCAGCAAAGTGATAGACTCGATATCCCGTAATACAGCTTCTGTTCTCTTCCTCTATAGGCTGCACCACACGGTTTTTGTTACTTTTAAGTACGATTTAAAGATATAAAGCTTACTCACAATGCGAAAATAATGCTAAAACTTCTAACTATATATTTCATGGTCTTTTTTGTTTACTAGAATTAATCGCACTTTCTGGCCAGTTTTTGGCCGCTTGAAGAAACTGCTGCCGTTTTTAAGGGGTCGCGTGATCGAATTACGCTGCGGTGGCTGCATTTTCAATGGAGGCGAAAATGCTGTATGCCCGTGTGCTTGGATTTAGGTTAGGTGCACGTTAAAGAACCCCAGGTGGTCGAAATTACCAGACCCTCCCCTACGGCGTCTCTCAATCATATGGTGGTTTTCGGACATTAAACCCCGCGTATCAATCAACGTTATTAAAGCGAAAGCCTTTAACGTCTCATACTCGCGTCCGTCCATCCGTGCCCTGGAACGGTGCTAGCTGTGGCCGCTCCTCAACAATCACGTGATTGCACGGAGAGTGTAAACAAAAACAACACGCTAAATAAGGAAACACGTGACATAATCGAATGGCCATAGGCTGTCACCGAAAACACTTTGCAACTCACAAAGTGCCCTCCGGTTTTGTTTTGTTTTGTTTTTTGTCACTACACAGGTTTCAAGAACTCGGCTGATGTTGACCCGAGCCTAATAGCACCGTTTATGAGGAAGCTATATTCAAGAACGAGACCTACGGGGCACAAGGAACAAAAATGTGGACCTCTGAAGGAGGAGGTACGTGTAAATACAATGGATCTTTTACTAAAGATCAATGAACCCGCCTCTGAGGTAGAGTACGTATTCACAGTGTTCGGCTGCTGACCAGAAGGACTCGGGTCAGATACCTGCCGCATGTAGATGTAGGCGAGACGTTGAAGGCCCGTTTAGTTAGATTCAGGTGCACGTCAAAGAACCACAAATGATTTGTCACGGGAACCCTCCACCACGACGTTTCTCCTAATTGTATGTTTTCTGCTCGTAAAACTCCAGCAATCGAAAGGCATTATAAGGAAAGACAAGAGAGATTTCAAATAAGGTCTGAGAGAAGAAAGGTTTTGACAACTGGTGTTGCTTTCGTTTGCCTTGTCCAAGACAAAACCACTTGTCTAAAGCTTCCATCTCCCCTGAACGGCGTGGTTTTCATTGGAGCTACATTCCGAGTTATTCGGCGACCAAGTAAGTCTGTACCACATTTTGGTACTCGAAATATCGATCCAATACGTATATCAGCGTAGAATCTCTGGACTTGATGGATGTATATATATATATATATATATATATATATATATATATATATATATATATATATATATATATATATATATATATATATATATATATATATATACACACTGGGCTAACGTCGGTTGATCGGTCTAGTGGCCAAGGTACTCGGCTGCTGACCCGCAGGTCGCGGGACCGAATCCCGGCTGCGGCGACTGCGTTTCCAATGGAGGCGGAAATGTTGTAGGCCCGTGTGTGCTCAGATTTGGGTGCACGTTAAAGAAAACCCAGGTGGTCGAAATTTCCAGAGCCGTTCGCTACGGCGTCTCTCATAATTATATGGTGGATTTGGGACGTTAAACCCAACATATCAATCAATCAATCAATAACGTCGGTTGATCGGTCAGTGGAATGAGTTCTGATTTTGCTTAACTGAATTTAAATTGAACAAATGTGTGCCAAAGTGCGCTTAATCGCTTTCTCATCTATGTTCACATTGTGAAGGGGCATTCTTGCGCTTACTGCCGTGACGTTCATATATAGTGGTCCGTGTTCTCATACAAGTCTATCTGCTTGCAGAACAACGCCGGCGAGAAACTCCGCGAGATCTCCATCATTTCGAACGGCAACGTGAACTACGCCATGACCAATGACGACGGCACGCAACACACAGCCATGTAGCGAGCCACGAGGACACGGCAACCAATCGTTTCCGCCGTTTGTGTACCACCTGTGATTTACGTGAGCCACGAACTGAAATTTAAGCGCGCGGGACTCCTCAAGTACAGTTCCGAGGACCCTGTAGCGGTGATAGTACAAAGTAGCGATGTCATCCAAAGATGCGGCATGTAGATGACTGCAAAATGTGACGGGGGGCATACGTGTCAACGAGGTGCACGGAGAAGTGCCAAGCGTTGATAGAGCTTATAACGGAATCTGCGAGCGATTGCGTTCCAATCATTCGCGCCAAGCGCGGCAGGCATGGAGCGGTCGCGCTTGTTTTATTGTTTACCTTACTTTACTTCACTCTTTATTAGTTTCTCTTAGGAATATAATGTCGATTTTTATTTTTTGCTGTATTCTTGTTACCTAGATAATTTTAGTTTTCGTTGCGTTTTAGCGTGCATCATCATTCTCAAACTGCTCAATGTTGCATATTAGAAATGTGTAACGTTTCTTTTTGTCACAAACATCGCACTTTTTTAGCTGCACTCGCCACGTGCGTAAGAACGGTGCTCTCGAACGGAGCAAGCAGCTGGAACATGGAATACTCCGCCTTCCTGCACGGAACATGTATACTCTGCCTCCCTGTAGAGTCCATGCCACAATTGTAAATACGCGTGTTTTCATTTCAAACATTGGTTCCTTGTTAGGTGCAGCGGAGCATTACTCGTTCGGTTTCAGCGTGATAGCATCTTAGTGAGTTTCTAAAACCACGGGCATTGTGCCTCTGCAACGAGAGCTTTACAGAAGGTTTTAAAAGCGAGTTTTTATTGCCCACATAATCACGTGTATTTAATATATTCAGGCAAATGTCGGCACAGTAGTCTTACTGTAAGGACATCGCCAACAGATTGGACCCGTCTCAGATTTTATGCAATCCACCGAGAACTTTTTGGAAGTGCCTCGCGCTTGTGTGAACTGAAATATTTGTAGTTTGCCTAGACTGAAATGCTAAGCCTTCCAGGCAATACGTTTGTTCGCTTTCTTTAACTATACCAAATAACGCTCACTTGTTTTCAGAACATACATTTATTATCATTACATATTCTCAGAGCTTTCGAAACAAGTAGAAAACAAAGCTACCCGCATTCGCGTGATACACTGGTATTCGCTTAAATTTCATCGCGGCATTCCTTGCATATCCAGCATCTCTACGAGTGTATATTCCCCATTTTTTGTCTATACAAGCATTTCTTTCTATTTGAATTACTAAGTAATTTGAAGATGTCATAAATTATTTTTTTAAATGTTGGAAATGTTAATTATTCTTCAATATCATCTGTCCGGCATACACAAGTTTCGCGCCTTATTTAAAATGTAGAAATTAACTTCAAGCCCACACTGACGTTCTGTTGCATACCGAAACAACTCTTTTAACTGCAATAGTTATGTCTATAACAACATGTGAATAGTAAATAGCGCATTTGTTGTGGAAATGTTTTATTGTAATAAATTGTCTGCAAAATGTCTCCCTGCCTTGCTGATTTAAAGGACAGTTTGAAACATGGGCGCCCTAGAGACCCGTGCGTATGAAGTGCACGCTAAAGAACACCCCCGGTGGCGGGTGTCTCAATTTCCCGAACTCATGGGTGTCATAAATTCCTGAACTCATCACATGGTTCTGGGGCTCGAAATCTCAACATGTAGTTCGGCAGCCGCGGTGGCCCACTTGCTGAAGGGACACTAAAGTCAAATAATTTACGTGAGAGTGAGAGTTCAATGTATTACAACGTCTAAAACGACAATATTATCAACAGCAGTTACCGAGATATTATAGGGTAAATGCACGAGAACACATGCGCCACAGTAGGACATTCTCAGAATGATCCCGATGACATCAGAGTCACAGCCCGCAATCATCCACTAGTAATATAACTATAGCTTCACTGAATAACGAACCTTCCGTGCATCAAGAGAAGTCATAAAATGCTGCTTGTCCATTCGTCGAATGGGACGGACGCTTAGAAACGACGCGTTGAAGGAACTAACCACGGTTTCCACGGTCACGGCTCATTACTGCAATTTACCGAGAACGCTGTGAGAGGACAGTGGTAAATATAAAAGACGTATTTTTTAAGGCGTACAAAGTATGTGACCATGGCGCAGTGGATAGCGTGCACGGCACCTGTTGTAGCACATCAAGATGTCATGGATTAGACTCCCGTTGACGGAACTTTTTTTTTTCTCAATCTTTTGATCGTGCGTATTTTTTTTGTCATTTCCGCGACGGAAATACGTCACTGAAATCTTCGTGGACCCCGGCATAAAACACTTTCATGTTAAAGGTCCTGTATTTTATGAATATATGGTTACACGGACCGAATATTACATAGAACATGCATTACAGCGAAAGCTGTATATGGCTAGGAGAAACGAACATCCGTTCGAAAACGGTGTCACGAGCGGTCTCCAGCGGTTGTGTTATCAGTTACGTCGTCCCCAGCACGCACGCCATTGGCTGCGTTGTGCGTGACGTCGTTGCGGCCGTAGCGCCGAGCCCGCGCGCAACAATTTCTGCTGAGGAGATGGCTCGCGATTTCAGACGCATGTAACAACCCGGCGTTGTGGCGTAAATTTGGTGATTGTGGAAGCGCGTTTACCGGAGTGAACACCGCTTTGACCGGGAGTTTCTCCAGTGGCACATTGACTTCGGCTGCGACGACATCGGTGACCGCCTGTGATTAGAGAGTTTTAGTACTGCGTACGCTGCGTACGTGGCGGCGTTGCGTACGTAAGGACGCCACGTTCTGCGTAGTGCGCATGCGCAGACCGCAACGCGCACGTATCGCATTACGTACGCAGCCGCTACGTACGCAAGCATGAGATGCGTGCGTGCGTACGTATGAGCTGATCGCGCCACTCTCGAACAAGTTCGCGACAGCGCGAGACTTCGCTTTGCAAAATGGCGGCATCGAAGGCAAGCACCGACCGGCTCTGTGGCTTGAAATATGGCCATAATCTGGCTATAACACTTGGATTGGCTCACATTGGCTGTCAACAACACGTGCTTATATTTCGATCTACCAGATGGCGCAACACGCTTCACGCTCGTTACGTACGCGGGTACTACGGCGTACTAAAAGCCGATTAGTGGCAAGCGACGCCACGTAACGCAAGGCGCTTGCGTGATGCGTACGTAGCACCATTCCGCAGTACTAAAACTCTCTATTAACGCGTTGCGAAACGCATTTAACCGCTCATTACTTCCCTCCATGTACGTTATCATACGCGACACAGTGTGCGGCATGTGAAATAAACACTGTGCCAACGAACCCGAGCGAAATGTGTGTCTAATCTAATTCAGAAGCACGAACATGTAACCAGTAATTGTGAAATGATTCAGTGCTACGTCGGGTCGAACCCACTGCATGCTTAATACCGGGGCTGGACGTTCTATAGCTTTCGCTGGTTAACTATTCGTACGGAGTGCTCGGGCTGTGACTTCTTAGAGACGTCTCATGTAAACGCAGGATGTTCTGCGCTGAAAGGTCGGGGTCTGAATGCGCGCCCACGCTCACAAAGAACTTTAAGACCGCTCGGGGTGTCGAAATGCGCTAAGCCCGAGCGCACTGAAGTCTGGGGCATCGAAATATGTTCCAGAGCCCGACAAGCTGGCTGCTCTATAACCCACGCAAAACGACGGTTGAGCGATGCACGCGTACACAACTTGGACAAAAAACTATACAGCGCGTTGTTTCGGTTAGTTAAGTCTTCATTTCACATACGTGTACACTCGCATAAGGTCGAGTGCCACACTTGGAACCTGCGTCATGCTCTGCCCACGTGGGCCGAAGGACACCACCCTGAAGGACAGCTGGTGTCATACCTTACTGATAAACAGTAATAAAACTCGGTGCTGGAACCACATGTATGCGCTTTAGGTCTCAGAAGTAAGGTAAGTCAGCACTGAGTTTTTGTTTTGCGTCGTTTCGAGTTCGAGTTGTTCTGGGTGTCCTGAATGCGTATACGCTTATTGTTCATTGAACAGTGGGACAAGAAAGGCGAGAAACAAGAGCGTTATCTTGTACGCAACATACAGTACATGCTGCGGTCATACTGTGTGAGCGTAATGCTGCGACAAAATTCAAAGCTTCTGGTTATTATATATGTAGGTCACGTATAAGCAGTCGTAAGATACGGAGCAAGAACGGATGCTGTCCCGTCGTCCTAAAGGATGTTACCATAAGATCAACCGTCTATGAGTACGAACATTCACCTTGTATAGTTGATCTGGCGAGCACTTGGAATACGCCGAAACTTTGATGCAATTTGCAGATCTTTCATTCCGTCATACATCTGTTTTGAAACAGATATCTCCCGGCGCGTGTGTCGATGTCTCGCCTAAAGCGAGTAGACTTAGGGTAATGGTTACTGCCTTGTATTCAAGTTGTAAAATCTCTTTCTTGTTTTTAAGTGCGAAGCATTTATTTGCATACTGCAAGCATTTTAGGTATCTATCTATCTATCTATCTATCTATCTATCTATCTATCTATCTATCTATCTATCTATCTATCTATCTATCTATCTATCTATCTATCTATCTATCTATCTATCTATCTATCGAGCCACTTTCGTCTGGGTGCTCTCGTTATCACCCTCATAACTTCTCTTGGCGTGAACCAAAATTAGTATGGGGGGATAAGATGGTTAGACAAATAAGACGCGCTGGTCAAAACATATATAATGTAACAATACCGTCGCGCACGTCATCAAACACTTTCCGCCAGACAGTGGCCCATAAACGCAGGCGGGTATGTGCCACTAGTATGCGGGTGTGTGCCACCCAGGAACGGCGAGATAATACATGGGTATTTTTAACGAGTGAGCGTTAAGGGAAAAAAAAAAGACATCAGCGACGAATGCAAAGAATGAATGTCAGGGACCCAGCAGGAATCGAACCCTACTATTCTGCGTGGCAATCAAGTACGACAGAGCCACTCCAGATCTCAGAACTACCTTTCAAATACACCATAATGTTAGTGACACACCAATTCGGTTGCAGTGCTGGCTATCTAATTTTAAAAACATTACAAATGTACTTCTATTATACAGTCGTCACGTAAGCTTAACCTCAATTGTACTTAGGTGCCATCCGCTGAAGTTGAGTCATGTATCAGTGTCCAGGGCTACCTACATCGCGCGCACCAGCGCTTCATATCAGCTATCGCTTCTGGAATTGCTAATGCTTATCTTCCTGTTGGCATCGTTGCGCAAGTGCGAACGACTGGCTATATACGTCTGCAAATGTTCAACATATATCTGTGCGTGCCACATTTGTACATATATTTAGCATCATTTCATAACGTGTCGCTCAATAGCAAAATTACAACACTGTCACCTTTCCTCCGCATGCTCGGTTCCCAAGGTACGTGGGATCTGTCAAATGTTTTGCTTTTTTTTTTGTTTTAATATCTAAACTATCTTGAGGCACGTAAAACTAATCGCTTATCAAACACTCGCTCGGCCAAAACTCGAATACGCGTCATCTGTCTGGCATCCACAACAGGTATATCTCACCGAATCATTAAGGCGGTTCGAAATCGGGCGATCAGATTCATTCATTCCGCGTATTCTGATGACATAAGCGCCACGTCAGCAAAATCGCAAGGCGGTTTTTCACCTTTAACCCACCGTCGTCGTCTCGCCAGCCTATCGCTCTACCACAAAATTTTTTTCAGCTCTCTTAATCAACCACCTTATATTTCACCCGCTGCGCGCACATCTGGCCGCCTAGGTCAATCGCACCAAGTATCGCGTCCATGTGCACGAACCACTACTTTTTTGTCCTCATTCTTTTTCCGAACACAAAGGAACGGCCTTCGCCAGAAAATTTTTGCTACCACCTGCCCGTCTCTGTTTCTAAAGCGTCTGACGGAATATATCGAAACTAACAATGCGTAATAAACGTTCCAGTGGTGTACTAACAACACTTTGGAATAACAAATTTACTGCGTCGTATAAGCTTTTGTAAAGGACATTTTTGTATTTGTTCATCATGTAACCACCCCTTATGTAAAAGTCCCCTGGGAGTCTTACAGTGAGGCGAATCGGAGCTCCTTTCTTTCTTTCTTTAGATACGTGAAGCTGTTCTCATGTTCCAAAGGTAAGCAAAATTAGACCGTCTGTAGCGCGCACTGCGTCACGATTCCAACAGTTGACTTGTAGCCTTGCCGTAAAGCCCCTTAACTACGTGGTCAGTTGCGGAGCAAAGGACTTTCTGTGGTGTAAAGCGGCTACAACGAAGTGCTCAACACTGTACAGCAGCGTCACTTTCTGTCCCTGGCTTGGTTTGCGAAAATGAGCGAGCAGTGAATATACTTTATGAATCATGTGTTTTCTCGAGACGCTGTCATGTCTTGTATTTCAACGCTGACCGCCTGATGCATTAAAAAATTGTATGTGCGCGCGCAAAGCTTTACAAAAACGTCTTGACCTGCATTGTCAGCGCTGTTAAAGGAATCCGCGCTG